ATTCAAATCAAAGAATTAGCAATGGAGCAATTAAAAATGTGTGTTTCATTTTCAGCCATCTCTTCCTTTCCCCACCTTCCTCATATATCTTCTTTTAGCTGAATTCATTTTGATGAATCTAAGAGATTATGACAACCTAAAAGAAATCAGTCTTACATACCTTATTTCACTTGAGTTTAGAGATTTTATTTCCATTCAACACTTATTTTTTTCTTCTCGATTGTGGCTTTGCCTCACAATGTGTTTCATCAGCAAAGAAAAATCATTTACCTTCCTTAACCCAAAGGGACTTAAAAATGAGGAGTCTCCTATCAGTAGCATACAGCCTCCTAGCTCTCCCTGCCAGCAGGGAGTCTGTTCAGCTAATTCCCACACCTCTTCATGAGCTGTTGCTGCCAGACCTGCAGCTATGTTAAGAATAAAGCAGTTCCTTTCCAAATACATGTTTTCAAGGACTTGTATATTTTTGTACAGTATCACACTTTGCATTATGACATCCTTTCCACTGATTATTGATAGATTCATTTGAACTCTATTCATGCTTATCTGGAAATATAATCTCGCACGCAAGGACAGAATGTGGCAATAGTCAGAGCTCAGAGTTGGCTCCTGGACACATCTAGGAAAGTGGAATTAAACAACTCATTTTTTAAAAGGCGAGAGTTAACTGCTGCAACACTGAATAAGGATTGCTGCAAGCCAGCAGCTCTGCTACACACACTCTTGCCTGCCCCCTGCCTTCTTCCTGTAAATGCAAGATGCTACTTTTCAGTTATGTCACAAATTGTGTAATACTAAACTTTTGCATTCACAGCATTCTTGTTGCACTGATGGATTTGGTCCACTGTGAGCACTGACCATCTTTTCTCCTACATCACTGTATATTTTAGGGAAAAGTATATATACACACCTCCTGTGAAACAGCAGAATAGGATGTGAAGCAGCAATTTGAATTCAGTCTTTTACAAAGTGTTGCTCTTGTAGTTCAGCAATGTCAGTTCTTGTACATGCTCAGTGCACACATTTGAATCCTCAGACTTATCAGGCCTATGGCTTATATAAGCGTTTCTTCATTTTATCAAAACATTACAGTATAGCTGACAATCTTCTGCAAATTGTGACTCCATTATTCATTGAGCAGTAATTCAGATGCTTAGAAAACTACAAAGATTACTTACTCCCAAGATGCTGGATTTGTTTGAGCATTTTTTCTCCTTTCTCATATTTTGCTTCATTTGATTGGGCAGTTTAGGACTAAGTCTGTGACTGATCTTTCCCCAGCAGCAACATCAGACCGGGCACTGTAAAATCTTTAAACACTGACATAAAGCTGTGCAGCCACAAGGAGCCTTTTGTTGCTATTTTAAGGTATTTAGGGTTAATGGAAGACAACAATGACCACACACTTTGCTCAAATTATTAATGACAACATTCTATTCTCAGGAATGGCTGATTTTGTTTGGGAGATTTGTCTCTGAATTCATTAACATTAGCTATTTTGCTACGCAAACCCCACAAGTGAAGTCCTGTGCCTTTTGAAGAGCTTCACACAGTACTTCATAAAATACCCCAAAAAATTCCTTAGAGAAACTTTTTCTCTCTTAATCTGTCTGAAGACTTTCCCCATCCTCTTCATGGAGACAAAATATAACTACAAAGACTTCAGTGGGCAAAGGAAGGGTACTTCCCCTCCCCTCCCCGTAGTACTCCACAGATTCTGAAATGTCAGTCTGGATTATTTTTCACACAGCATCAGATATGGTCATGAGATGGTCCTTCTGAGGCAAATAATTGTTAAAAATCGAAGACAGGAGACAAGACAGTCAGTGCTCTCAATGGACCAAGTTCATCAGTGCAACAAGGTTGCTGTGAATGCAAAAGTTTAGTATTAGCTCAGTGGAGGACTAGAAAAATCTTGGGAATTAAATCATCAAGGTCTGCTAAATGAACAAACTCCACATTCATCTCAGGACATGAGAACTGTTGGAAGCTGGGACAGCAGTCCAGGAAGAAGCATTTATACCTGCTCTCAGACTTTTATCAAGGCACCAGCTTACAGTGTCTGCTGCAGACAGGATCAGTATCAGATGGACCTCAGCCAGGCCCAGCACAATCATTCTCCTTTTATATTCTAGCTGCTGCTCTGTGAAATGGTCATGATCCTCAGGAACTTTCATGCAGAGAGAAATCTGATATAAACTACTATTCTGCTGTCACAGAATGACAGGTACCCCACTCTAAAAGTGCTCTGGGTCAGTAAGACTGAAATAAGCAACATCTTTAATCTCCAAAGAGCCAGAAAAGTGCTGGCAAGGCACATGTTATGCTTAGTTGTGTCTGCATCCTGGAGGTACCAGTAAGTCTGAGACTTTGCATCAGGCCAGAAAAATTATGATATTTGTGTCCTTTGAATGACTTTGAATTCTACATATCAAAAAATGGTGAAACTTCTTTCTTTAGGCATAAAGTCACCAAAAACCCATGTTTTCAGATCTGACATAGCTTTTCAGTTAACTTTGCAAATTGATGTACCTCATTTACTCTGAAGTTGCATTTTTGCTTATGGTCTGGTATCTGGAGAAATTAGGTATTTTCAGACAATTGCAGTGAGCAATCTGGAAAAGTATTTGACTAGACCCACAACTGACTTCCAAGGAGATCCAGCACATTTTCCTGATACTATTATAGCCCAATGAGGTGAATTATTATAAACATACAGCACAATCTACCAACACACAAAAAATCTAAACTTGCATCGTATTATTAACAGTCAGTGAAGTTTGAAATTCAACTTAAAATCTGGACCATCAGAGAAATTTAGTACTTAGCAGACATTGCTACTTCTGTGTGAATATAAAGATTTTATTTTTGTCTTTTGGAAGATATAAGTCTAAGTCTCTTTATTTCTGTTCAAAGCTCCATTTTGAATAGCCATACTGTATAGCTAGAGTGAAGTGTGCAGACCCATCAGCAAGTAACTCCTACACATCCGAACCACGCTGGATCATGATTAGGTGCCAAAGCACACACCAGGTACCCCCCAAACTAAGCTAAAACCAAGGCTGAAGCTTGGCTCAGCCCCTGCTCCCGGGAAGCTGCTCACCTTACACTGCTCCCAGAGAAACAGCACAAGAGGGCGCCTAACGCCTCCAACATCTCGAGTCCAACTTCCACAGACTGTCTTTTCTTCAATAATAGCTCATATTTCCAGCGGCATGACAAAAGCCCTGAGCAACGCCACAGCTACATATGGTTTAGCTTCAGTTTTGCTACCCTCCTGAAAGCATTTAAGAATATTTTCATCGTCTATTAAATAAAGACTGGATTCTCTATTAACAATTTCAAAGTCTGTATTGCTTTTTTTTTTTGGGTGGGAAGGAGGGTGGAAATCCTGCCACCGGTGAGATTTTAATGTTAGGAAGCAAAAGGAACATCTCCAGACAACAAGACAAAAGCCAAAGAGGCAAAATAATTTTATGTCAAATTTATTCTGGCAACCACCCAAACACGGACTTTGGCAGTTTGTTTGTTGGTTATAACAGAAGCCACTTCCTCTGCAGCAACAGGCATATCAACACCATTGTCTGCATCCTGGGGATGGGCTTAGGGTGTTTCAAGCTGCACAATGCTCTTATGTGGAGCTGAGGGATTGAAAAACAGAGCCACAAACCCCCACCAGTGCCCCCTGGGGAATTCTCCCGTGCATACCTTGTTAGGAAATGAACTGGGGTATTTTTTCTCCCTGCCCTGGCTCCAAGCACTCTGACAGCTCCATTCAGCAGTGGGGAGGAAGGCTCTGCCCAGGGCTTCTCCACAGCTGCAGATGACTCATGCTGGAAGAGCCCCTTTGAGCCAGATTTAAGTTTTCCCAAGTTCATTTTAACACATCAATTTCTATCACTTTAAAGCTCCCTGCACAATTGCAGCTTGCGCAGCATAACCTGGCCTGTGCACAGGTACAGACCTCACCAAGCACCAGGCTCAGGCTGCTCCCCAGGGTTGCAGGGCCACCTGCTCCCCCTCCTGAAGCCACATTCCTTCCTCTCCTGCAGCAACATCCCCAAGGACAAACTGATCCATGCTGCCTTCTTGGGACAGGCAGGAGAACCAGAGAAACAAACCCTGCTGCTCTCCTGGTCTATGTAAGAGCACTGGGCAAATAGCACCTTCTCAGTGCTTTCCTCCCACGAGCAGGGCTGCAGGGCCAGAGGAGCAGGGATATGCTTGAAGCTCTCATTCCTGCTTTTCACTGCATTGTTTGCTTAGGGAAAGCGTATTCCCTAGCCCTGCCTTCTCGGCTCTGGAGGCACACACAGAGCTACACAGGCTCCAGGTGCTCACCTGTATTAGGTGAATCAAATGTTCCTGTAAGTAGCTTCCTACCAAAGACGGCATTACACAGCACTTCTGCTGCCTCTTCCTGTTCTGCCTCCCACTTCCATCCAGGGGAACCTCAAAAACGGGATTTTTCATTTGGATTTTAGCCATCAGAGCAGGAGGCAAGGTCTTCTTGTAGGGGCACAAAATGAAATGGTGAAATGGTCATAATCTTGCATAATTCTTGCAGGAGTTGGGGCAGAGCCCACCACTGTGCTCCTCCCCAGTGGTGTGTGAGAATGACATCATTGTGCCAATAAATGAGACAGGAAGTGCAACCAAGCAGAAAAACCACGGAAAGATTCTGTGAAGCTCTGCCAAGAATGTTAACAATGGCGCTAACCAGAAAACAAGAAAAGGGTTTGGTTCGTCTACTTTCTTCCAGTTTTAGTAATCTCTAGTGTCACTTGTAACAGTAGACAGTAAAAAACCAGGTCCTTGGAGAGACACTGCTTAGGGCCTTTTTTTCTTTTTTTCCAAGGTGATGGTGACCTTCTACTGTCTTACCCCAGCCCACAAATTTCACAGTACTTTAAAACCAGTCTAATGATCCAGATAAACTCTGGTGGGAAGTTTTAAACCTCCCCCCCCCCCCCCCCTTTTTTTTTTTTCTTCTCCCATGTTACAGTTGGTAATAGTGCATTACCAACTGTCTTGGCAAGCCATTCCTGTATGTGTCTTTCTACTATGTGGATTCCTTTATTTTCCAGAACATTGCAGTTGCCCAGGTCTGAGCTAATACTTCTTTAGAGTCACGTATTTCATCCTGTAATGTGAACACACAGGCCCATTTGAACCTGATGTGTTAAGCAGTTTTCTCTCCATCAGTCCTAGAAATCTCTAACCAGCAGATCCTAGAAGCTCACAGCCAACCGAGTCTGTTTCCCCTACCTACCTTTTTGTCAAGCAGCTGACCAACAGCGGCAGTGCTCAAGAGACGGGTGGCACTTGGCAGCAGGAAAGCAAAGCCTTCAACAACCATGGATTTCCAGATAGTTACAGATGTGGGCATAACTTACAGACAGGACTTCATGAAACCATAAAGCCAATCGGATTGCCAACTGCTGTCAAATCAGGAGATTGCCCCTTCCCTTGCACTGACACCTACCCGACTCTAAAAAAACCAGGTCCTTGGAGAGACACTGCTTAGGGCCTTTTTTTCTTTTTTTCCAAGGTGATGGTGACCTTCTACTGTCTTACCCCAGCCCACAAATTTCACAGTACTTTAAAACCAGTCTAATGATCCAGATAAACTGGCTGGAATGTCCTTCCCTTGCACTGACACCTACCCGACTCTGTAACAAGTCAGTCATAAAGCTACACGGGCATCAAACACTGTAAGGAAAGTGAGATTTCTCCTGCTGACCCAGCTCACTGCAACTTCACCTTCCTGTCAGCAGTGCTAAGCAGATGGACTGCAAAGGGAAGGAAGCTCTCAAATACTCTGAGTTATGATACAGAGCCCGTACAGAATAATACAAAATATTGCAGCCTTGGCAACGTATCATTCCCCTCAAAAGCTGGCTCATAAACTGCCATTTTCTACAACATAAACAATCCCACACACAAATTAAATGAAATACAAGCAGGTGCTACTGTTATTGACACGACATTTTCAGTTCCCTGCAGTTATATCATCTATATTTATTAGAAAAATACAGTTATTAAATAAGTTGGTACTTCCCTATATAATTCAGCATGTTTTCCTAAAACCTGCAGGTATTAAAAATATTAATCTCCTTAACCTTCAGAAAATTTTATTTAGTAACCCTGTTTAACTCTCAGTTAAGATATGATGAAAACACCAATGGAGATGTAGCAAATGACAGATTTATTCAGACCCAGCTCTTAAATGGGCTCCAGTACAAAATACACCCGTAAATCAGACTTTCAAAAAAAATCCCAACCTGTAATAGGATTAAGCAGTCTTCAAATAACCACTACTCTTACCAACAGTCTGCCATCAAATTAAGTCAACCTTTCTCTCATTTATACCCCACCTGTAGATGAGGGCAGAAAATCTGACCCTCTAGAAACAAAAGCTGTGTACAGCTGTGACAATGACAATGCTCCTGAGTGCAACCACCTGTGGTGTGAGATACAAGCCCCAAATTTACCTCTCAAATTTTGTAAGCATGCTCCCCATTGTAAAGGCTTTAAAAAGAAACCAAACAAGAATAGCGACTCTCGATTTAGAACCCATACCAAATAATTCTTTGCTTTGGTTACAATAGGAGGTACACAAATGATTGGATCTGCTGCTTTTGACAGCAGCAGCAACTGGGTTGTCTTGCCTGTTCCCAGGGCTGTTCTACGTCTTTGTACCAGGTGCAGAAAAAAAACCCAAGAATTTCTGATGTATACATGTCTTCAGATAACTGAAAATTCTCACTGCTGCTATTGGTTCAAAGCTTTACAATTACAAGAAATTTAACAGTTTCTGTTCAGAGTCGCCTCTAAAGAAAGGTAAAGTCAGTACAAATAAGGCTGTGCTGACCAAGTCTTCCAGTCTGGAGGTATCTCTTATCATATTCCTCACTAATACCCAGTAGCACATCAGGGACATCATGAACACAGGCCAGGTCTGGAATACAGCCACCTAAGGGAATTTATGAATTCCTGCTGTTTTAAGGAGAGTATTTGCAATTGCAGCTTTCCCCCTGCACAAAAGCAGCCATGCTGTGGTAGAGCAGCACCTCCAGGAAGCCAAGACAAGGCCACCAGCATCCGAAGCCTTGCTACTGGCAACAAGGAGTCTTCCAGTATACAAAGGGACCCTACAGAAAAACCAGAGAGGGACTTCCTACAAGGGCATGTAGTGATAGGACAAGGGCTTCAATCTGAAAGAGGGCAAGTTTAGATTAGGTATCAGGAAGAAATACTGATACCTAATCTAAACTGTGTGAGAGTGGTGAAACACTAGAACAGGTTGTCCATAGAAGCTGCAAATGTCCCACCTCTCGAAGTGTGCAAGGACAGGCTGGATGGGGCCCTGAGTAATGTGGTTTAGGGGAAGGTGTCCCAGTCCATGGCAGGGAGCAGAATTAGCTATCTTTAAGATCCCTTTCAATGCAGACCATTCTATGAGTCTATGATAAGGGGAACACTACTGACTGAATCATTCTTCTGGTGACTAGCAGCCAATGGAGAGATAGAAGGACAACATCCATCTGTGGCAAGTTCTTTCAAAACATGAAACATAGCTACAGTGAAATGAACACAAGTCTGAAGGCTTTGTGCCCTGATATCCCACACAGCATCATCCTGTGGAGCAACAATGACAGCCTGACTTATTTAGGCCAGGATGGATGGTCTGGAAATGTTCCCTGCTGAGACCAACACAATTTAGTCTCAACAAAGAACTCCTAAGTACTCAAACTGCAGACCGAGCCTGCCCAGGTTGTATACTTTCAACAGAACAGGCTGAACAGGACCATGCCATCGCAGAAATACAATATTATCCACCAATGTAACTGTATGCTTCTATGGAAGCACAAAGGATTTTATCTTTAAGGAGCTACTTACCCTTGAACACAACTCACAAAAGCATTGGGCTGCTTCAGCAATACTGTGCAATTAATGACTGATACAGCTGTATGTTCACTGCAGAATTCTGGCAGCTATAGCTGCATCATGAGACTGGTCATTTATTGTTACACAGACACACTGAAGAGACACAGAAAGAAACTTGCACTTGGGTGTGTCCTTCCAAAAACACTGCAAAGGGGGACTTCATTGTGCCAGCCAGGAGACACTATCCCCAAAACATAAGAATGGCCTGGGTGCTCTCCCACCCTTGGGGTCACCAAGAGAATTCACTCCAGTGCCAGGCTACAGTACACAAGGAGCTCTGCATGAAAAAGCAAATCTCATCCCAAGGGAACTTCTGTTTACTTGAATGCCTCCCCTATAATCCCATTTTATGCTCCACATGTTTTGGAAATGCTGCACAGTCAGGAGACTGGCAGAGACTAAAGGGAAGTGATTCCTGTCAGAGGACTGTAGAAAAGCAGAGCACGACCTCAAACACTCTCATGGCAGCCTTCTGCTTAGCTACATCTGTATTATCATAACAAATACTTTAGTCTTAAATGGGTACTGAACGCTAGCAAAAAATATAAGCTGTTGTTTTTTTGAAGAAAGAAAAACATAATAAAAGTGGCTTAAAATTAACATTGGAACACTATTCCTGTTTAAAATTTAAAAATGAAAGCACTTCAGTTTTTAAAAAATAACCTCCAAGATGATAATGTACATTCAAAAAAGGGAAGAGTGTTTAGTGTTTTTGACTTGATAGCTCCCTTCATGGATAGGTCCATTAGCTTGCAGGTTGAAAAACACAACCCAGCAATAAGCATGGGTAGAGTTCAGAAACACTAACCACTTTCTGGTGGGCTATCAGATCTGGACACCCCACATTCTCTCTTTCTGCAGTGAAGACTGAGCAGAGGTGAATCAGTGTCGTGGAGAACTCACCCTGCCTGAAGAAAACTTCATATCCGGTAACTCCCACTCCAAGACAGTAAATACTGGCATGGCTGCACACAAACAACTTTCAGGTTGGAAGTATGTCAATTATCAATTGATTTACTCACCTGATAAATACTCTCAGCTACTTTTACTAACACAAACTCTTTGTTCTCTAGCCAGGGAGCCTAATGTTTTAATCCCAGTCCCCAGCCTTCTGGTAAGAGCACAGCGCTCAGTACCTGGCAGGACCAAGCACTTGTTCAGCTGTGGTTCCTTTGCATTAGTATTTTCCATACAATATTTTGAAATAGAAGGGAGGCACAAAACACAGTGACTTATAACCCTGAAGAACAATGAGCATTTCTGTGAGCTGGTTTTCTACACAGGATGTGGGCTGGGCCTCCTTGAGTTTGTGTAATCTGTCTGGAAGTCCAAAAACCACACTCTGAAAACATGCTTTTCCTTTAACAAACAGTCAGTCACACACACAGAGTCTAACAGTAGCTTACATGTCTGTCATTCACCATTAAGGAAAATTTTCATTAATACTATTTTTTCAAGCATTTTTTACATCAAATTAGGCACACAGACCGTACCTAATTAAAATATATAGCCTTTTTTAAATCCAGCAAGAACTACATCTAGGGATGGAAGATTCACTTATTTAAAATTATGTCAGAAGTTGCACTTCTGACAGTGCTTTACATGACAGTTCATACCCTAGGATCATTAGAGCCCAGAGACAAAAACTCAAAAGCACTGGAGACATTATCATGGAATGAGCTGGGAAGAATTATCCTGCGAAGTGGCTTTTCTAGATGCTCTAAGTCATTAGCTTTAACAACGTCATGCAGTCCTCTGAAGTCCCATATTTTAGATACTCATTCAGAGAGCAACTCTTTCCCTTTTCTCCAAACACCACCAGAGGACAGTCCACCAAATGGAGCTGTTTGCTGAATCAGTACTGGACACCATACAGCAGATGCTAAAACACAAGAGAAATGGCTTCATCCAGAACTCTCCTCTAGCACTGCAAAGTAAAAAGACAGCATACCTGAAGCCATTTTTGAAGAAAAAGGATACAGGAGAGTTGCACTGTTTGACACTATTCCACATTCAGAGAGCTTAACTCCAACCAGAGTTGATCTGCCTGAAAATTTGACTACCACCCCTCCATCCCTTTCCTGTTTGCCTCTTGGAGCTGCAAGACCTGGTTTATAAAAAACAACTGCTGAAGAAGTAGAGTTCATATGAATTCTCAAAGCTTGCCTTCACAGTAAACATATCAATCTTAGACTTGACGCTTAAACTCAGTACTGCAACAAGCTGCTGGGAATACTTCTCTTCTGTGAGGAAAGCAAGCTGTATGAAGCAGGTATGTATGTTAAAATACTTGATATCAATTTACTACCATAATTTCCAGAATTACATGTTTTTAATTCCTAGTGAAACTAATAGTAATATGAAACTCTATCATATTTCCAGTGCTCACAGTATTTTGTTAATATTTTGAAGCTACAGCAAGTTGCTTTTCTTTCTGTGGGAAATCAGAAAGAATGGGAGTTAAGATTGAGCAAGTGGGGAAAAAAACCCATGAATACTTCAGCATACTGAAATTTATTTTTTTACACAATCAGGTTTCAAGTGGCTAGAAAATATCAAGAAATCTTTCCCCTCACTTTCATATGTTAATTCAGATTAGCATTTTATACTCATTTAGGCAAATTATGAAAGAAGAAATCCTCAACTATGTTCAACACAGCAGTTCCTACAACACCCTATGATATTCTGATAATTACCACACAATTTGAGTCAGAAACTATTACATTCAGCACAGAACTGGTTGGCTTCTGTCTTCATCTCCAGCAAGTTCCTGCCTTAGAACATGCACTATGCAAAAACAGCTCCTGCAGCCATGGAGGAGAGAGAGCTGCAAGGAAATCCCAAAACCCAGCAGGAAGTAACATCTCTGTGATTCAACATGTTGAGTCTTTTCCCTTGAGAAACCAGCAAAAAAAGCACAGCATTAACTGCACAGAAAAAATCCTTATCCTGTCCACATTACAAATTCTGGAACCACTGTAGGTAGTTTGAGTGACTGAGCCTGTTTCTTCAGATTTCAGCAAGTCTTCCTTTAGTGTACTTTCACCTAGGGTAGTTGGAGAAAAGAGAAAGACTTGTTAAATATTGCAAAACAATTGCATTTCACCTCCATCAGCTGTGCAAGAACAGCAGAAAAAAAATTTGGATGGATGAACTAGTTTTGATTCTTTTACTTGGAAAAAAACCCCAAAACACCCCACAAAAAAAGTCACAGGATTATACCACAGTCTGTCACTGCAATGGAAGTAAAGCAACACATCTCAGTGAAGGCTTTCAGTGTGTTGGACTAAGTGCTGTAGTCTTCCACATTACAGAGACTGGACAGAAAGAAGGTACCATTAATTTTCTAGGCAAAATAACAATAAAAATACCCGAAGAGTTTTGTTAACATCACAAGCCACATAAGAGAAATAAATTCCATTCTGCTCCCTGCCGTTCCCATCTGGTTTCAATTTGCTAGAGAAGACTGAAGCCTGTATTCAAAAAACAGACTGAGTTGTAAACATTAGCCTCTGCCAGCATTACTAGTAACTCATGAGATTCTGGAGTTACCATGGAAAGGCAAGGGGAGGGTAGGAGAAAAAGGTCTGTGAAAAAGTAGGACTTGCTCTGTCATTAAGCTCATTTTATTGCATTGTTTTAATCCATGAAATGAAAAGTGTTTGACACTCAGAAGACACACACTTGCAGAAAATCCAGTTCTACTCATCTCTGTTGTTTTGCAGCATTATGAAAACAGGGGAAAGTTGAGAAAAGTCAGAACAGACGGCCTGGGCCACTGGATGCCCTTGTTTTATATGGCTTGTAATTATAAGCTGCATACTGTTGCCTAATTTATTTCTTGTCATGTTATCAGTAAAAGATCCCTCCATTTCCTGCAGGAATAGTTTCGTTGAATTGTGACAAAACAATGAAACTACAGCTGAGAGTGTCTCGTGGTAATATTTAACAATAAGCCTTTAACCAGACTTTGCCCCATCTCTGCCTTTTCCTCAAGCCAATAGTTTCTAGTTAACTGTGCCCCTAACATGAGGCCCTGATGTGCTTTGGAATCCACTCACATGGTTAAACAGTGAAAAAAGAAGGGTGTTTCTGCAGCAGTATGGGCAGAGATTTTGCATGATGTGAAACACAGTCCCTCCAGGACTCTATTTTGACTAATCTTAGGTCCACAGTCAGCCCCAACTCAAAAACTGAATAGAAGAGAAGGAAGAAGTGATCTCCTTATTAAACACATCAGTCCTTTGTTCACAGCATAGCCACACAAATGATCAGCAACTGTGGTGATGGAGCACTACACTGTGCTATCACAACAACAGCCCATAGGACTAGTAAAGGGCAACTAAATAGAACATCTCAAGCCATGATTGCCTCTGGCATCCACAAAGGCCCCAACATAACACTTCCTAGTTCAGGCACATTAAGGAGCTGTGTTTCAAGGCTGAGCTGAACTCAGCCTTGATGAACATGGCCCTACTGCTAATCACTCATTACTAAGCTGGGTTACTAACCAAGTAACAGTCTTTTTTCCAGCCACCTACCAGAGGTCCATGACTCCTCCTCCAGCCCACAGGCCAAGCTGAAAACACCATCAGCTGTCTCAGTGCTGTTTTTGGCCATGCCTTGATTCCAGACTTCTGTACCGACTCGCTGATGACAGGTATCATTAGCTAACAGACATTAACTTTCAGCAGGTTCTCATGTAAGCCTTCCTGTTCTTTCACTATTTCTAAAAATGGCTCCCTTCACCATAGGAGCTTCTCTTACTCTTGGATTAGCTCACCACACTTTTCTTCTTGATATCATCTCACCTCACCAATTTCTCTAGTCCCTTTCCTCTAGTTTTCTGTTCCATCTTCCTAACTGGAAATCCCTAATTTCATCTTAATGCACTCCCTTTAGCTTTACTGTGTGTATTATATATCAATCTATCACTTGCATCCTATTATTGATTCTTCAACACCACCAGAAAGCTGTAACCATGGGCTTTCTTCTTTCCTTTCTTCTCAGATGTTGGTGCAGTTAGAAATAACTACCAGTAATACACGCTCATGCACAATTAGAGCAGCTCAGGGTGACCACTATACGAAGAAGTTAGCCCAGTCTTCTAGACCCAGATAATGTTATCCTCAGCCTCCAACAGATACATGCTAACAGGCTACATTATACCTAGCTAAGTCACATGTTTCACACATGTGAAGTATGTACAATCTGACCAGAAGCAGGAATTGTGAAAGGCTTATTTTGAAACACAAGCTTCTTAAAACCACACCCCTTACCCCAGCCCCCACACATCTTCCCATGAAAGGTTCACAACTTGGACAAGTTTTTTGGTGAGTTCCCAAATAAGCAGCAAAAGGCTTTATTCTAAAGCATCAAACCGAGAATTGGAAGGTGATTCACCTTGCAGCCTCAATTCTACTATCTACAACTCCATCAAGAACAACAGGAGAAGGCACCAGCCCTCCTTATGTTCAGACTATTCAATACCCACAAAGAATTTGGCTGCAGCATGCAGAACTACTGACTGAAAGCAGTGGATATTGAGTTATGCCCATCTTTCATATGACTCACCACTTCAGCTTATATTTATATACTGTTTAATAAAAAAGGTTCCTTTTCATCTTTTTATAGGGATACTCCTACCAATATTTAACTAGCTAAGTGTTCACAAAATTTTCAGTTTATTATTAATTTTGCATTGAATAAAACTGTTAAAAAAAATGGAAATCCCCTGCAGAGCAAACTGCACAAGTCCAGAGAACTACTGACAAAAAAGTTTAACTAGCAGCAAAATTCTTGATTTTCCATCTAAAAGTTAAAAATATATTTGAAGCCAACTGGAATTGCTTAACTTTCTCACTAGTAAACATACTCTGCTATACCTTTTTAACTGAGTAAGTTTAATTCAGACATCAGATGAAGATATGACTGCTCATGCCTAATTAGTGATGCAAGAGGTTGCAAGCCTCTGTAAGCAGACACTCCATTTTCTCCAGAATTCAAGATACCAAAAATTGCATTCTCAGCTGGTTCCCTCTCATACACGGTTTGTTTCCCAAGGCAGCTAATACCAGTACGAAATTTTTGCTTCAGCAAGAAGGATCAAAGTAAGCAGCAAGAGCTGTTCAGTTTCCTAACACCTTAATTTTAAATGAAACAAAACCCTAGACCTAACTGCAAACCCAATATCCCCAAAGACAGCATAACTACCATTGCTAACTAAGTGGAAAACACACAGAAGTCTGGAAAAAAAAAGCACAGCTCTGCATAGTAGTGTAGCTACACTTCTGTGTAGCTGCTGGAGGAGCATGCTAGGACAAGCCTGGTGTTTCTATCCTGGCTCCACACATGGGGACACTTCTGCATGCCAAAGCTAGTATTTTTTTGCTTCTTGCCTGAGTGATTCTAAGCCTGTTCTGCACACGCTGCACAGTGCCAAGAAGCTCTGTACTTCTTGTGGATTGCTGCAGACTGGCTTTTGTCAGAAAGAGTGATCACTTTTATGAAGTGCATGTGCACACTGATGGCAAACAACAAGATCCATACAATAGGCCCAGACACTTTTTCTCCCAAAGTTAACACCTGTGTTAACCTGTGTACTGCTGCCAATACTCATGCAACAGGAAAAGAAGCAATTATATTGTCTTACACAATTTTTACAGTAACCAGGACCAAATGCATTTTTTGCCTCTCCCTGTCAGGAAAAAATCCAAGGCACTGCTACGGCTTTTTTTATGCCCCTCTCCCGGTTAGGAAAAAATCCAAGGCACTGCTACAGCTATTTTTATGCCACTATGGATCAAAGTAACAAAAAACCTCTGAACTGCTAAGTAAAGCAGTCTGGTATACCTTGAACTGGACAAGTACCGTTACCAAGTTATCACGTTCCTTTGTTTTATAGCATGGATATGTACCAACACCTACAAGTAGGATGAATCTGTAGCTATGTAGAAGAGAAACAACAGCTGATGTGAAGACATTAATGATTATTGCCTAAATATATTAATGTTACAATAGCTAAGAGGAAGGAGAGTATTCAGTTTCACTGATTTCTCAAGTTAGTCATGCTTGTGCATAGCATCAAAGTTGACATAACAGCAACTAGAGGACTAATTCTAGTTATAAGCTTTAGTACTCATTGTTTTGGAGACTATTCATATGCAACTATCAAGTAAACTGTGGACTTGTTTCAGTTGAAACTCTCTATGCCTTTGTGCTGGTTCAAAAGGGAGCACACTAAGTGGCTGTACTACTCCTTCCACAAAGCAGGTCAGGAAATGTACTGACCTTGTACAATAGGATCTGGTAAACCAACTCAGGGGTTGCTATATTTCTTCTCATTAATGTACCCAAAGTTCCTGGGGGAGGGGAAGACAGGAAGCAAGTACTCTTCCTGCTCCCCCAACCTAAAAATAACTTAAGACAGTCTTTCTGCAACATGTAAGCCACACAAGCACTCAAAGCCTGAAATATTTATACTTTGGGCAAACAGTCACAGAATTCTCGCATTTTGCCAAGTATCTTTTTATCATTATCCAAACAGATCTGGAGATTGTGGCAGAAAAGTTTACTTTTCTGGGGGCAGACATGAGCCTGTTGCCAGCTGTGTTCTTGAACTACAGCTTTTTTCCTGCCCGTCAGTTAAGCTGTAACTACAAGCCTATTTTGATTTGTGAACTTGAGCACTAGCTTCCCCTCTTCAAGCACCTCTTGCTCTGTCTTGAAAAATCTGCAGGTTTAGCGGAGCTTCTTTTCACATTAGAAAGCAAATGAAATAAACACCTCAATAATAAAGTTGAGTACAGTGTTGCGGGGAAAAAAATGAAGCTAAACACCATGACAAAATTGACATTACAAAATGCATACATTACAAAATAGATAGAAAACATTATCTATAAACATGGAAATTAAATTCCTAGTAATTGAGCATTGTAAAACACAAGACTGATTATGCAATTCAGACAAATGTAAGTGAAAGAACATTTGCAGGATTTTGGAGGCATGCATGCTCACAGGCTTCCTTACTCCAGTTCTCCTGCATTTAAAAAGGTGGCTGATTTGGTTTCTAGAAATTCTTCCCTTTCAAAAAGCTACAGAAGAAAACTGGGCGTGAACACCTAGTTCCAAAACCAGATTCAAAGTAAAACGTGTATCTAGTTAAAGATAAGCACCTTCCTTTCTGTACCACAATCCCTCATTCTTCAGCCAATATCCATGATTTCTTTATGCACTTCTCACAATCTGTTCACTACATGGAAAACCTGCAGGCTGATTTCAGCACTCTGTTTGGCAGGTGAAAACTTAGGCGTAAAACTGCCATCCTTTGAGTTAGCCTTCAGTCCAGCATTTTCTTTTGACAATCAAAAGTAACAATTTCATTCAGATACAGCAAAAGTACTGAAAGTTTTGAAAGAGTTCTTAAGTTTAATAATAGGAAAGCTTAAATCTTACATGCTATACTGCCAGCTTATACATACTACTAGGTGACAATGGCATACAGAGTATACCTAGTTGTACACATGCAGAAAGCTGGGGAAGGAGACAATCATGGAATGACTTTCTACTTCCACAGAAAGAAGTCTCCCAGTCACCCTCTCTACCCTGAGACGCCAAAGCTTACTCAAATTTCACATATGGGCAGGAAATCAAAATATGCCACATGGCCAGAAATCCGTAGTAGTTCAGACATGAGTTCCCAGAGGGAAGGAAGTTATAGTTAAATACAAGTCCAATCTGCGTTTCCCTCCACAAGCTCCAGAGGAAGAATTGGAAAAGGCTAACCTTTCCTGCTGCACAACAGCTAGGAATCATGTGATGTAAGATGTAGCACAACTGCTTGAAATAAGAATGTTACTTACATGCAGATCCCCTCTAAACTGGTATTTCAGAATTCCATAGTTGCATACAATGTCTCTGTTTTCATAATTTCTATGATCAGTAGATGACAGACATACATAGCCTTGAGCTACTTGAAAGTTGCACACTGTACAAGAACTACAGGTTAGGCCTGCTTATTTTCCAACAAAGACAGATTTCAGTCAGGTTTCCTTCTTACAATCCATCTTGTTGCTGCAGTTAGGGGCAACCCCTCCACTGATGATGTATTCAATTTCGAGCTTTTTTCAGTTCCCTTTTTTAAAATACTAAGTGAACAACAGCTTAGAGAACCTAAAAATGCTGATAAAAATACTGTTATAGCAACTGTTCTCTGGTTAACATCAGGAATACACTTTTTGGTTTTACCCACCCCTCTAAAGAGTGGCAGTTACTGGTAGAGGCCTCCATCATCCTCCCTTTGGCCATCTGTAATCCTAAGCACAGTCATTCACATATATTGGTATTTCACACTTTCACTGGTTAACTTCCCTGTGCTGAGAAACAGCTAAACAGGCTAAATGGACCTTGGGTGCACACTGTGTATATACCTACTACTTACAGAAGAATATATTAAATTCTTATTTTTCATTGGAACAGCCAGAAAGATCAGGAATCCCCATTCAAACATTTCCAGTTGAGAATCAAAGCTAAAGGAGTTTCAAAAAAGTATCACATGCCAGACATGCTACTGTTTAATGGGACTCAAATACATATTAAAATAAACGCTTACATTAGACTCACGTAACAGAATGAACTTAATGAAATATCTCATCTTTATTTATGATATGACAAACAGAGCAGTATTTCAGCTTATGAACTACAGCAGAAGTGCTTCTCAGTAGTAAAAAAACTCTCTCCTTCACTCCAGTGCCAACTGGGCACATCCAAAATTCAGATTCAACCAAGACACTCAGAAGCACACGAAGAAAAAAGTCTACTGGACCTGCTTTTTTTGGACACCCAGTTCAGTTTTTCCTTTCCTCTTTGCTGATCTACTTCTATAGTAGGGACTGATGATGCAGAAGGCTAATACCAATACTAAAACACTACTCATTCTTGCACCATGTAAGAAAACCCCACTACATAAACTGTTACTTCAGATAACCCTTAAAGGCTTCAGATTTGAAATGTGATCCAAGACTGCAACGCGCTGTTTCTAAAAAGATGCAACAGATGTTCTACACATATTAATACACACATCCAAAACGGAATGTAGAGCTTACTTTTACTGAGTGCAATCAGTATACAAATCTTGCTCAATGCTATTCAAGCAAAAAGAAGAAGCACACAGAGCAAGAAATAGGTGGGCTACAGGAAAAAAAAAAATCTAAGCTTAATGCAGCATCTACAGACACACAGAAGCACCTTTCAGCAAGTCACTTCTATATATAAGGAGCATTTGTAGACAGCTCAATACCTCTAAGTTGTAATATGCTACCTACAACCACACTGGAAGGTTGTGAGGAACAGTCACAGGCGAAATTTGAAGCATAAGGCACAGCCACTACACTGAACAGAAAGTATATGAGCATATTCTTGTTAGGTTACAGAAATATGTGGAATTGATGAGGTTTGTTTTAAGTGAGTTAACAGTTCTATAGCCCATTTCACTGTCATTACATTACTGAAATTAAAGGGCACGTTTAAGCAAACAGACTAAAGGTATCATACCCTATCATATCCAAAACACCACCCTGCTTTGCTCATTGTAGGATGAGCTTAAAACAGGTCCAATGTTAAGTTCCTCTCCTTCCTTTAAGCAGAAACACTCGGCCTACAAGGCAAAATTTAGGTAACTGCTCTTCTCCTTGGTTTAAGTAAATTGAAGTAGTTAACAGAAAGGGGAACAGGATTATTATGTAATCATATCACTGAAACACAAGACAAGACAAACTAATTTAACTAACAGTTGCACTTACAAGGCCACTAATATTTGTAGCACACAATCTGTGGAAAGTGTGGAATAAGGGCTTGCCTATTCTAGAAAAAAAGAAATCGGAAGACCCTGCACTGTCAACTCCTAGATGTAGAGTAGGCTTGGCTACAGCCCTCAGGCATCAGTCCTAATAATACTTTGAAATTACTATTCCTTCCCATCAATTAGGTCTACACTAGCAATTGCAGGGTCCCAGGAGTGCCTTGAAAGAGTTCTAAGACACACAGAACTCAGTATGTTAATTTTGCACTGTATAATTCATTTTACAGGAGCATGATTTTTTTCTTCCTGTTCATAGTAGTTTCCTTAGTATGAAATATCCCTGCCTGCCAGTTTTAAGAGACGAACATAATCAAGTCTAAATGCTTGATTGGTATTCCTCATTTTTGGACCCAAACTACATGAAGTTCTCTGAAGTAGTCCTTCAATTCTGGAATTCCCTCTCCACCATAGGACTACAGGAACACCTATACTTAGTGTCTGTACTTAAGCCTAGACTAAAGAAGGCAATGTTAGACACAGGGAGAAAAAGTCTTAAAATATTAGTTGCCTACAGAACCCAGTTGCATTTTTATGCAGTTTTCCAATGTTAGTGAAAATGTAAAGGTGGCATACAGTAGTGTCACACAATTATAGAAAGTGGCTACTGCAGATCAGTAGCAGATTAAGCAATGATCACTTCCCTGGGGGAGCCCATTCTAGTGCTCAACCACTCTCTGGGTGAAAAACTTTATCCTGATATCCAACCTACAGTTCCCCTGCCTCAGCTTCATGCCATTTCCTCCAGCCCTGTCACTGGTCACAGGAGTGAAGATATCTGTACAATCTTTTATTGTTTGTAGCTAGAAGTCAAGGAGTCGATAGCCCACTGCCACTATTTCCTAGTGATCCTATTTCCCCTCTGCAACAGCAATCAGTGCAGTTCAATTTTACTATCTCTGAAGAGGAGATACTCAAGTCCAAAAATTACTGTTAGCTGAGCCCAGACATTACGGCTCCTGCATGAAGTACAGCCTTTCCTATGACTATGCAGAGATAGGGAAGCAGAAGTGTTTCTCAGAAACAGTTTAAAAATAGGATCTGACAACTGCCCAGCATGTCTTTATAAGCTTATGAGCTTGTTCCAGCATATGTATGCTGGAGTAAGGGAGCACAGCTTTGAAGATGAATTTGAAGTAGCACCACTCTGATAAAAGCAATAGTTTTGTTTTATGAAGAGTAGTCTTCTAAACCAGGATATTTGTGACAATGACATTCAGTACTATTTAATACATCTCTAATTAGAAGACCCATAGTTGTTCTGGATGGAATTTGAGACAGCCAGCTTACCCTGGCTCAACAGAAAAGACCATACTGCACAAACTATCATCAGCCTGACAAACTGGGCCACAAACACAGTGGGCCAAAATGAAGTGGCACAACCACTGCTTAGCACGTACCAGGGAATAAAGCTGGTAAAGCACTTCTTAGGCTAGAGATTAAATTACTATCTCAATATCACAACCAGCCACAGTCTCTTTGAGGGATTATTAAAAAAGTGGCACAGTTCTGTACCTCCAAATTTTTTTACCTTACTTCACTAAAATTCAGGGAATCATGACAGTCCCATGTCATGACTAACCTGCTAAGTAAAGGCAGGAAGGTGGAAGGAGGGAGTTTAGCACAAGAACTAGATGCTAATGCTTGTTTCCCAGCTACCTCTTCAGCTTAAGTTCTTGTGCCCTCCACACTAGTTTTAACACCTCAAATCTGCCACACAAGCTAGTTTTGGACTTGTATTTGGTTCGTCTATAGCAGCTGTATTAGCAATGGATCAAACAGTTATCAAAAAATCCATATACGACAGCCAACTGGACAGAAAAGATACTAGCTTTGTCAATAAAATACTAAACAGAAATACGAAAACAAATTATTCACTATTTACCAACCTACTGAAGTTTGCTGGAAACAAATCCATTACTATAACCAGTGATACTCAGCGTCAAAAAGGTATTCTTAGCGCACCTTCAACAGTCAGACACCATAGAATGGTTTGGGTTGGAAGGCACTTTCAAGATCATCAAGTTCCTAGCTCCTGCCATGGGCATGGACATCTCTACTTGACCAGGCTGTTCAGGGCCCCATCCAATCTGCACCTGAGCACTTTCAGAAAAGGGACATCCACAACTTCTCTGGACAACCTATTCCAATACCTCACTATCCTCTAAGCACCCCTTCCTAACATCCAATCTAAATCGCTCATCTTTTAGTTTAAACCCATCTCCTATCACTACCTGCCCATATAAAAAGTCACTCTGTTTTTCATAAGCTACCTTTAAACACAGGAAGGCTGTAATAAGGTCTCTCCTGCTCTTTTCTGTGTTGAAAAGCCCCAGCTCCCTCAGCCCGTTGAGTATTTCTGTTTTACGTCGTAACAGATCACACTGAGTAGGACTGCAGCAGTCTCCACAAGCTAAACCTTTGAAGAGACAAGATATACTGCTGCAATAAAGCTGCTGCATTTCTACTTTTGAGTAACATCTACTGCATGACCATGCCACATTAACAAGCTCACAGATGGAGCAGTCACAGCAAGAAGTTTTGGTACAGTTTCTTTTCCCCACACTTAATAAGCACAAAAAAAAACAGCAGCTAAGATTTGCTTGGTTTCTGAGCTTACAAGGAACACAAAATCTTGCCTTCTGTGACAGGACCACCTTCAGCCGTACTTATGGGATGCCAGAGTCTCTGGTTCAGTAATTTCCCAACTCTGGCACAGTCCAAGTCTCCAAACTGGCAGTATTGTCCCCCATTTTCTTCCAAAAAGCACCATATTGCATAAACTGCCTATGAGCCATTCAATCACTGGTTATTTTCATCAAATAACTGCTATTAACAGCATTTCAGGGCTAGTGCTGCATTATAATCATGTCTGAGCATAACCTCACTTCTGAAAGTAGCTACTTGGACCTTAACACTGCTCTCCAAAGCAACTAGTAGCTCATCAGAAAGACTCCAAATAACAAGGTCATGCTGGAGCAGAAAACAAACCAGTGCCCCACTTACTACACAGAGGTCACAGCAGTGAACCTGGTACAAATTCCCACTAATTCCAGGATTAGGAGGCCACATCACAGCTTTAAGGTTGCTTCTTTAAGTGAGGAACTGTTAAGAATTGTATAACCAGCCAATAACCTATTTTCCTGCTAAAGCAAAACCTTACTAATCTCAGAAACTTTTTCAGAAAGATTCATTGCAACACAAAGCCTAAAGCAATGTCCAATGGAAGTTCCTGTCCTGCTGCTGTTTCAGCATTGAACACAGTCTGTCCAAATCCAGGTGGATAAAGTGATCAGCTGCCAGTCACTAGAACTCCTTTTCCTCGTGCAAATTCATTTGGCTAGTGACTACTAGCGACCCACAGGAATCACTTTTTATGATTAGCTAAGTACTCATCCTGTAGGAATAATTCTTCACTGAATATCCCAGTTATTAGATTATCAGCCACTTCTGGATGAAGCAGGCTTATTTCAAGTTTTAGCTTGTTCCAACAAAATAAACCTAAATCTCAAATCCTATAAACACTTAACTAGCCTGTAGCTGAGCATAACACTTTACTTAATTTTACAGGTACCAATTCAGTGAAGCTGGAGTGCTCTTGCTACCTGCAACTGAAGGTCAATCTAGCAATGACTTATAAACTCAAAGTTTAGAATTTTTTTTTTGAGTGCCTGGCTCAGTGATTCTAGTTACACTAGCCAAAAGCCTTTAAGAGATGCCCCTCAAAACTCCTTAAAAACTGCAGCTTTCCTGAGAAAAAGCATACCTAACTTCACTCACAATTAAAACCTGCATATCTCCATTTTCCCAGCAGGTGCTTCATTCTGCTCCCATTCAAACAGGAACGTTTGTCAAGCCACACAATGAAGAGTCACATTAGAAAACCATCCATTACTATTAGGCTTATGTTTCATCCATTCTTCACTTCTACTTCCCCCATGATCACTTGCAGAAGCAAGAATGAACAGCTGAAAAAGTGCAGGATCATCTTTCAGCATGAGCACTTTTAACTGTCTCAACCATGACATTAATGCATAGTCAGATCTATTACACTGTTAGTATCTCTCTCCTTTCTCCCCTAAATACCCTTGAACTCCTGTCAGTCCCTTTGTATGGCTAAAGGTAAACAACTGTTTAAATAACAGGTCTTAGCAAGGGCTCAGGCCACACATGCGTGCACAGACAGGCTACCAGGGCAGGTTAGAGCCACAAGTCTTAAGTGCTGGAGAGCAGCCAGCCCACTGAAGTAGCCTCGTTAAGGAGCAAATTGCAGTTCTGTAGAAATTGCTTGTTTCCCTGGTAAGCTACCATAAATGTAAACTACACACCATTTTTTACCCAGTCTCCCTCTCCTACAGCCCTTTTCTTCCTTCCCTTCGAGATTACAACAGCTTCCATCAGAACAGCTGTAGGACAAATGCCCTGTCTCAAAGAAATACACACATTTTGTTTTTACTTATCTCCTCCAGCACAAATAATTCAGAATACGTATGACAGTTTTGAGACTGCACTGCAACACTACCAGAGCTACTGCTTCTTTCAAGATAACTGCTTTCCTGAGAACTGCTAATAAAAACAACCTTGCAAAAAAACAAGAAACCAGCTCATTAAAACTTGCCTTCATTTCTATAGCTTCATAAAAGCAAAGCCACACCTCTGTTCAAGTACTGCTGCAATAAGCTACGAGTTACACAGTGAACTTTTAAAGTAATTCATTTCTTGGTTTTCAAGCAAAATCTGTTATCAAAGTGAGTTACTTAAAAGGCTGCTTTAAGAATTAAAATTCTAGCTGATTTTCTACATAAACTATTCTATAACATAAGCATTCAAACAATTCCTTCACACTGAGACAAGCAATTACTGTTTCATAATTACAGAACACATGCCTAAATGCAAGTACTAATAAAATGTTTTTTCCCCTCATCTTTAGTTGAAATTAATGTTCTCCCTTTAACATATCTGCAACACATTGCAGATTCACAATGTCAAGTCCCACATAAATCAGTGCTCTGTTAAAAGAATCACTGTACACTGAAAGCCTCTCTGGAAGCTTCCATTACAAAGGAGTATTTACCTTGTGTCATATGATGCCTACACAAGAAGAATCAGTAATCCAGTCATTTTAATGTTTGATCAACAAACCAACTGCCTCGTCCTAACACCATTTTCAGTAAGCTTTTTTTTTTTTTTTGGTAACAAAAAAATAGGCACAGCCTCACAATCTCTAGGACACAAGAATCTTGCTCTTTATAGCCCGCACAGAAGTCAGTTGGCACAATGCTCAGCTGGCAGACACCTTCTGACACTCAAAAGAGGGGAGACTGCTCTTTTAGAAAACAGAGTTTACACCCTAAAACCTAAGCTCAAATGAGACTACAGACGTTTGAAAGCTACATAGTAATTCCTAATTACTGCCTTCTCCCTTTCTTTCCTGGTATCCTCTATAAACCTACAAAGGAAAAATGTAGTGCTGTTAGATGCTTCCAATCCTGTTTTTCTACCCCTCCTCCCACAACACAGGGATGCCCTGCAGGCCATATATGCGACCAATATGAACTACTTACAGTAGCTCCCAAGTCCCCAGTCAGTTCTTATATAACTGAACTCCACCTCACCATATTACTTATGTAACACATATTAAAAAGCAGCTATTATACACAAATCTTCTCTATTAGTCATACACTCAGTTACTTTCATTCCAATTCTCAAACAGCACGTTTGTGAAATGGTCAAGCTTTTTTATCAGGTTGCTACTGTGGAGGTAAAAAGAAAAAAATCCTATCTATCCAGGACTACGAATAGAAAAAGGGAAACATTTCCAAACGGAACAAACCAACACCCTTAAATGACCAACAACTTTTAACTGTTAATTTGTTCATTGGGTTAGATGCCATGGCTAAATTTACGCTGTAGCATACAAGAACAAGCCATGGGAACTAGCACTGAATTGTTTTGAAAATATGAGAAGCTCAACTAAACAGTAATAGGAGTTGCATTCCTTAAAGAAAAGAGCTAGGATTGGAAAACATACATTTTTCACTTCCCATCCAGCAAATACTGAAATTTTTTAAAAAATACCTGGAAAATGTATTTGCCAACCTTTCAGGCCTACGTAACAAGTTCATTTGCCTATGGACCTCAAAGTAAAACATGGGGAGTCCTCACAATATTTTTAGACCGCATTTTTAATTTGCACCAAGTATATGCATCAATTCCCGTGTTAAAGATGCAAGCCATCTGCGGCCTGACTTTGGAATACACCTATCTCTCCACAGAAAGCGGCTCAACTCCTGCAATAGGATTCAACAGCACACAAAGAACAGCAATCCACTTTTCCTATTCAAACAGAATAAACTCATAAACACCTGAGAGATTTTCCCTTGCCCCCCCACCCGCATCCCCGGCAGAGCATCACTAGAACAGCCAAGACCTCCTCGTCAGAAGAACAACTCCGCATGGCCTGTACGTTTTCCTCAGCAGCTTTAATGAGGTCGTTTAGACATCACTTAAAACGCCTGTTCCAGTAAGAACCACTCCATAACCCCCTGCAACTTAACTTAGAGCAGAGCGCCTTCGCACCGAGCGGGCGGCTCTGCCGTGAGCGCACCCGGCTCCCACGCTCGGGCGGAGCCAGCAAGCACCGGGGGAACTTTCCCTGGCGGTGGGTAAAGCCTTGCGCAGAGAGGGGGCGGAATGGAAAGCTTCCCCCAAGAGGAGCTACACCCTGGAGGTGGGTGGAGAGTAAAGAGAGAAGCGAGAACCTTCCTCGGCAGCAGCTACACCCTCGTGCATAAGGCTGATGGGGGAAGGGAACCAGCGCGGGACCGACGACGTTGTGCAGGAGGAGGGGGAGGGAAGCCCGGGCTCTCCCGGGCAGCCGCCGCCGCCGCCTAAGCCAGCTTGGTCCGCAGCCAAACCCCACAGGAATGCAACGCGGTCACATGACCTCCGGCGGACGTGCAACTCCCTTCCCTCTCCAGGGACACCCTGCGCCATCTTGTACTGACGCAGTTACAAAGGCAGGCATGAGTTGCTCCCCTCTCGCTCGTTTCCCGCTCCTCTCAGCACAGCCCCGGCACTATTCGGGAAGGAGAAAACCAGGCCTGGTCCTGCTTTTCTTTTCGCCAGCTCTTCGGGGACGCCCTGCCCGCAGAGTCTTCCCTAGCGCTGAGATCATGGCGCCCGTTTTCTCCCTTTACCTCCCCCGGCAGCTCCCGACCCTGCCCAGCTGCGGCTGCCCCTGCTGCAGGATGATGTCAGCGCCAGCCAATCAGGGCGCGCCGGGCCACACAGGCCGGCCCGGCCATTGGCTGCCGCGCCGCTCCCGCCCCCCTCCTGACTCGGGCTCCGCCGCGGTTCGCTGCGGAGCCGCAGCCAAGGCACAAGTGCGGGGAGGGGAATAGGAGGGGAAGGGAAAAAAAAAAAAAAAACCCTACACAAAAAACCGACAACCAAACCCACCAAGACGCCAGCCGCCATTTCGCGCAACAACAGGCAGAACCCGAGCGAGCAGCCCCAGCCAAGCGCCCTAAGGAGAAAGAGAGAAAGAAACAAGAGACACACGCACAGAAGAGTTAGACAGGAAAAAAAAATACCCATAGACTCCGCCATGATCACAAGAGGTTTAATCGCCCCCCCTCCTCCCTCAGACTTAATGCCCCATTACAGCCGCCTCCTCTGCGTCCAACCAGCTAGCAGATCCCTTCACCTCGGCTCCCTCCTGCCGCAGCAGCAGCTGTTTAGAGCCCCAAACTCTCTGTGCCCAAGGTGTGGGGGGACGCTAGTCTATGGCGCTGCTGCTAACTGCTTCTCCAGTCACCCGAAAGTGGCGGCTCCATCGAGGCAGGGTAAGAGCTGCCAGCCCAGCTTTTATCTGGTGCCCCGAGTTTGCGCACTGAAGAAGGCTCGCTCAGCCCCTGGTGGGCGTCGAACGAAACCCCAGCCGCCGCCTCCCCTCCCTCCATCAGCCGTATCGCTGGAGGGGCTGAAGCCGGGCAGGGGAGGCAGGGCGGCGTAGGGGTACAGCGGGAGCTGGGAGGAGATATGGTGGTTAGCAAGACGGGCTGCTTACGAATGGCCGGAGCTGTGTCTGCCCAGAAAGGCTGAGCGAGCTCCTGGCACTGGCATCGCCCGCTGGTCTGGATGGAAGCGCGCCATTCCTACTCCCCGAGCGCCGTTCCCTAACGGGCAAACGAGGCTTGTTCGCTGCTTGTCTCATTCCCTGCAGAACAGAAATGCCTTCAGCGAGTGCTCTTGCACTCGCTCTAAGGAAAGAAGCTTTCTCCCACTTGCCTTTGAGTCCTAAACGCTTCGGGGAAGAGTCTCAGCCTCGAGTGTCTTAGTGAAAGTTTCAGTCAAAACCTCCTGAGCAGGTCTGCAAAAATTCCCGCTCCTTTCTCTCTCCCCTCTTCCCCTCCCCTCAGGTAGTTCTTCTGCGTGTGTGAGATCCGGCAGGTCTGCCCGGCTTTTCGCGCAGTTTAGGCCGAAAATGTGCTGTTAAAGATTCATAAAGAACACGTATGCTGACAGCATCGACGGTCGTGAGGAAGAAGCCGGAGGCTGGGGGTGTGAGAGCGGCCGAGGAGGGAGTTTTGGCGTTTATTCCTCCGAGGATGCAGCTCTGACTCAGACACCCTCGCTCCCGCCCGCGCTCGGCCCCACAACAGGCCGGGACGGAGCCCCCGCCCCTCCCGCGCGGGCTGCGCCGCCGGGGCTGCGGATCGCCCCCGGCGCCAGCCCCCGCTGCCGCCGCCCCTCCTCTGCTGCCCTACTTCCCTCCTCACGGCCCCCCTGCCCAGCCCCTGCCGCAGTCTGGTGCCGCGACCGCGCCCAGACCCCGGAGCCGTTCTGCGTGTTGCAAAATGGACTCTGAGGGCTCGGCGGGCGCGGGCTGCACGCCCGGCCCGTAAGCAAAATGGCGGCTGTTTGGCTTCGCCTTGGTAACCCTGCCCCTGTCAGGCGGGGCGGGTGAGCCCCGTGCAGGGGGAGGGAGGGGAGAGCGGACGCCATTTTCCCAGAGAGAGGCAGTGACATAGAAGGGAGCGTAGGAGGCTGGAGGGAGGGAGGCACGGCAGCAGCGGCGGCAGCAGCGGGGTTTGTACACAGGTCCCAGGGCAAAGGCGCCTTTGAGCTGGTCCCTGTAGGGTTCTGCGCACTGAGCTAGGTTTGGGGGGAGGGGGGGGTTTCCTCTTTCCCTTTCTTTTACTAGAGCCTACTGAGGGCTGAGTCCTGCCTAGGGTAGGGATATCCGCAGTGGGACTGTTGCATTGTTTTGGTTGGGATAGAGAAGGGGCTCAGCTGAGGGGTCCTGTTGCCTGGCCTGTGACCATTACAGGTGAGTCTTTGGTTATTACCAGCATATTCTGCTGTGGGTGCTTTGGGGGAGGGGGGGGGTGGAAAAAGGGAGTGAAATGCGACGGGAATGTCTCATTACCTTCGGTGCGAGTATAACTCCTTCCTACCCTGAAATGTGTTTAATTTCTGTTTAAGTTGCCTGTAATTTGCTTTTCCTTTTGTGGGGTTTGGTTAAAAAATGGCAGGCTGTCGCTATATCTTATGAATATGGCGGGTTACTGTAACTGGAGGAGCTGAGGAGAATTTTTTGGCAGTTACGCCAGATTTATGCATTATGCTTGGAAAATGAGCCAAAAGGAGCTATTATGTGACAACATAGGCTTCCTTGGGCTGGCGGTTTTCAGAACGGGTTTGTGCGTTATTGGGACTGCGTATTGAGTTTTATGAAGCTTGGGGAAGCCTATTCTTTTCCTCCATCCTGTATATTTTTGCTTTGTGGTACTAAAATGGCTCGTTATAGGCCTAATCTCTTTGCCTTCCACACCCCCGCCTCCCTGCCTGCCTCCCTGTTAATATCTCCGCTTCGTGGTGTAACCTGGACAAACGGAGAGCTGTCCCCAGGAGTTTCTGTGCCAATTTAAAAGGGGATCATTCTCCCCACCCCCTTTCTCGAGGCTGTAAGTAGTTAGACTGGTGCACCCCTTTCTTGCTTCAGTTTCTACAGGCAGTGTTCGTGTTCCCTGGGTGGTATATTTCATTCTCTTTGCTGAAGCAGTAAGTGTTGGTGGGTTCGACCGTATTGCTGCAGACACCGGGGAAGAGAAACAAACGGTTCACTGTGTACTACTAAATAGGGTAGGGAAACATAATATAGCCTGATTATAAAGGTCCTGTATTCCCCCATACTCGGCTATTAGGGAATGTGCGGTGTCTGAAAGCCCTGAGGTCCCTAAAATGCTACATACTAAGTGTCGTCAAAAGCAGAAGTTCACTGCTGCATTTAGATTTACGAATGTTTTAGTCTGTTTATTTACAGTAGCTTTAAGGAATAATAACGAAGCATTTTTGTTACTCAGGGTTCAGATCAGAGAACACCGGGAGATATCCATGGCAGTACTTGCAATGCGTGATTAATTGGTTATTATCACTATACTTTTGAAGTTACTTTTTAAAAAATGTGGAGCAAATTTATTAATTTCCCTCTTTTGTCCTTTAGAGATTCTAAAAATGGCGGCCTCAGGCTGATGTTGTGGTAATCTAATCAGCTCGGGTCCTCCACACCCCATGCAGTGCGTTTGTCTGCAGCATATTAGTGTCTTACTATGTTAAAATGAAAAGGCTGTTCCCTTCAAATAACGTACAAAACAGCTCTTGACTTTACTGCGATTTAAAAATGCTGTGTTCCAGCTGATTAATTTTATTGGTTATGTGTGTGAAAGGCAAGTGAACGAGACCACTCTTGTCGGGGAGAAGGGGGGTGGAAGGAGGCAGCAGACTCAAGCAGCTCCTGCGAGGGGTGTGTATATGGTGCTGTAAGGTAATATGTATGTCGGTTCAGTAAATTGGAAAGGCTCCTGCGTTTGTGATCGATACCGTACAGCTGTCTGTCCTACTAACGACACAAAATCAGTAATATTTATCAACGCGAGTCGTGGATTACGATCATTAAGACAGTCAGCTAAATTCTTTGTGGAAACACATTTGTGAACGTCATGTTCATCTTGCAGGAAATACCTTCAGTGGACATTGGTGTAGTAATTCCATGTATTCATAGTTAGAGAATACAGAATGAATTTAAGGGAATAATGCACGCGAGATTATGACCTGTTACTTTATTTAAAGACACAGAATTTCTTTTGCTGCCATGTAATTTTGGCGTTACATTTTTTCTTCAATTTATTTAGTATATTGCTATATAAATTGTATGTGTGATAATGCACATACGAGTATTGAGGGAAGGTGCGATTCTTAACGTCTAATTTTTTTCCTAAATGAAATATGAACCATTTAGTATCACCACTATAAATATGTTTGAGTGGGGGGAAGGGAGGTCACAAGGATTCATTATTTGGTAGTTGGTGTAGTGTACTCTGATACATACTATAGCAGCTGCAAATTTTATGTTTTAAGCAACAATAACCAAAAATAAATTTTCACCTTTTCTTTAATGCCTGTCTTTAATCTTGTTCATTAAATTAATGAGATATGAATTCCTATTCCAGTATAGCTTTAGAACCTTCTGGATTTAAGAAATCAAAAGTGAGGTATTGAAGTGGCAAAGCTGTCTTCAGTCTCTGATGAATTTTAATTTGGATATGATTTAGAAGCACTGATGTAGGATTTAAGGTATACTTGAAGTTGACCAGTAAGGTAGACTTTTAGGGTATTGTTAATGCATGCCTTTAGTGTGTTTTGAGGCCAAAGGCTGAGTGATTTCATTAATTCTCCAGTAATGCATGCTTCCATCATCTTAGTATTTATATAAATACAATTTTTTCTTCTAAGCCATGTCTTACTCTCTCTATTTAAAAGTACATGAAAAAGACAAAGAGTATACGGGCCTTTATGGAAACCTTTTGCCTTTTTCTTTCCTTGTCTTCAGTTGAAAGCTCCTGTTCTTGATGCTGTACAGTCTGCAGCTCTTCATGGCTTCTGTCACGTTCTCAAGTAGACATTTAATTGACAATTTGAGGAAAATAACCTTGTACACTATACAGAAAGTGTTTGGGGGAGGGTAATAAAATAACCCCAAAAATACTAATTTTCAAATTTTACGGTTTATTTTATGCACTAAGAACCTCTTGGGAATTTAGAGATCTTCCAGAGTTTTCCTGTGTGAGTTTTAATGAGTCAGTTTGCCTTTGTGACTCAGTTTCTCCATTTGTATAAACAGATCTGTGATTTGTTTTAAGGAGATTTATTTTAAGGAGATTTCTACCTTTATTTTTAACTCCATTGATGATTTTATTTATATATTCATAAAGAATGAAATGCCCCTTCACCCCCAACACTAATACAAGCTTCTTGAAAGAGGGAAGTTCTGAAATCTAAATTCCTTCTAAGACATGTTTCTGTTCCACAAACTTTGCTTTAGAAGTGCAATCATATGGATTGGAGTTGATTGAATCCATTTTTGTGTCTTAAACTTTTTCATATCTAAAGGAGAAATTTGCTTAATTTTCACTTAGCCTTTTGGTTGGTGAGTGTTTTTGCTGTCTGGGAAATTCCAGAGGGAAAATAATACTGACTCTTAAAACTAAATCTAGAGAAAGTTTCTCTTAAGACTAAGTAACCTCTTCAGGTTACTTTGAGGTAATGCAACTCCTGATTTCTCTTGGACAGTTTCAGCATACACAACTATTAAAGTTCTCTTGGAAAGCAGCAGAAACACAGAAATCAGTGTCGCACTGAAGGCTGAAGTGTCTCTCCAGTTCTGTTCTTGGTTTGACTGAGGACAGTCTTTATTTTGTATGCATGCTAATACTAATTTTAGTAAGGACTATTTGTGGGACTGAGTTAAGGAGTGGTGCATGTAATTGTAGAATCATGGTAT